ATTCATTGAGACAAAAGACGGTCATATTTCATGTATAGAAGAATATAGATAATTATTATTAATAATTTTTTCGTTCAGAGAAAAAAGTTAAGTTTCCAAATAATTAATGTGAAACTAAGCAAGAAGTTCAGAATGATTCAAAAAAAAAAGAATGAATCAATACTAGTCACAACTAATAGCAAATACTTGTTTATTAATTTATCATTAAATACAGAAGAAAAACATGCAATTATTTTAGATTTTTTTCTTACAATTATCCAAAAATGTTGTAGATTGAACCCTGATACAAATATAAGAAAATTCACTAAGTATAAGAAAATGATCCTGAACAATATATAGAACTTGTTCAGATGTCATAAATGTAAAGTTGAAGCGTCAAACTTATTCAATGTTTTCCCTATTGATTTATCCAAAATAAATACACTTTTATTTCCATCGAAAATGGATTAGACTAGTGTCATGAACTAAGATGCTTGAAAATTATTGTAATGATTTATCACTTACAAACACCTGATTCCGCTTGTGCAATGTCAATTTTAACAGGCTTCAAGAGTGTAAAGATAGGCGTCATTTCTTTGAGGTTAACTATACAAAGACCTGAGCCAACGTCAGAACATGAAGTCATTATGAATTGAGTTGCAGGAAGAATAAGTATGATTTCATCGTCCGATGAATAATAAGAATGTTTTCCAATGTATTTTCCTGAGTAGCATTCAATGACGAATAGTGTTCTTGTACCTGTTTTTCCCACAATATGTTCTGCTTCTAAAGTTCTGATTGACGGCGTACATGTTGAAAAACCCCACCATATCACTGTGTTTTCTGCTTTATAGTATTCCTTCAAATCAAGCCTGCAACCTCGGTAAACAGTTCGATGTGAAATAGATGGAAGTTTGTGGAATGCAGTTAGGAATAGTTTGAGAAAAAGAAACCATGGCTTCAGACTAACTCTATCTTTTGATCTTAGAGCTTCATTTAATTTAAAATACAAACATTTATCAATTGGTTCCCAATTCATCGTATGAAGCATAATTGCAGCTGATTCGTCTCTTGTCAAACCATCAGCTGGTTCGTTACAGTTCTGTTTAGCCACGTGAGCATACTTTTGGATATCTGGTATGAGAGAGATAAGTGGTGTTACAGCATGTTCTAGAGAAACAAGTGGTAAATCTTCATATCCACTGATAGGCATTAAAATTTTGTGTGGTTGCTTATCAATATCAGCCAATCGTAACATACAAAATTTAAGTTGTTCTTCGGATTCACTGTTGACCATGTTGAATGTAGAATCAATTTGGATATATCTGAAAAATTGAATGAATATTCTTCATTAGTTATTCTTCTCTTTCTTCTTTCAAGGTTAAATTTTTATAGCCATTAATCATCTCTGATTGCTTGAATTCTTATAAAAATAACAAGATCTTTCATTTATCATGTTGTTTTCTCGAGAATGATTTTTATTTCAGTCAGATTCTTTTTAAAAACTATGTTTGTTTTTTACGGTTCTCATATCAATTTCATTCTATATCTTTATTTGTTTTCTTTGAAATAATAAGTCAAGATACAAATCTCATAATAGTCTATTTTTAATATTAGCCATATCTTTTTTGTGTACTCAAAAAGTTCATACACTCTAGAATCGGTCAGTGTGTGCGGCCGTTAACACGATAACTTTCGAAAGGAGAGTCCGATCAGTATGAAGTTT